TACGGGTCTGGGGGGGGTTAAGGGGAGTGAGGGGGAAGGGGTTGGAAGGGGATAGGGCATGGGAGCTGGGGAAGAAGGAGAAGGGTTGGAATCGGATGAGGGGTAGGGGAGGGATGGGTTTGGAGAGGTGGGGGGATTGGAAGGGGGTAAAGAGTTGGTGGGAGTGGTTGGGAAGGGTTGAGGGGGCAGGGGGTGGTGGGGCAAAGGGGTGGGGGTTGTATGGCTTGAGGTACATGGGGTGAGGGGTGAGAGAGAGGTGATGGGTAGGGTGATGGAGAGAATGCATTGAGAGGGGGTAACATGGGTTAATAGGAAGGGGGCCTGGGGGAAATGGTGGGGGAGGAAAGGGGAAGAGGAGGGGGTAGGTGAGATAATGGTGAGTGTGACAGATTAATGTGATGGTTAAAGCCAAAAGGGTTTCCTGTAAGCAAGGGGGGTAAAGTACAGGTGGTGCGTCAGGGTGTGGGTTAAAGGGTAGAAGGTGTCAGGGAGTGGCATAAAGTGTGGGGGAGTTTCAGGGAGTGGGACAAAGGGTACAGAATGTCAGGGAGAGGGTTAAAGACTAGGGGAGTGTCAGGAGGTGGGGAATTGGGGAGAAGGTGCAGAAGATGTAGGTGACAGTCGAGTTGTCAGGGAGAGAAAAGGAATACAGGGAGGCTGTTGGGGTAAGGGTGGGGGGCAGAGAGCGTGGGCTTTCAGAGAGAGTTGTGGATTTAGTCAACAGGGGTGTGCGATTGTGGAATATTCCGTTGTGAAATGGACCTAGTACCAGCACTGTGTTTCCACAAGACTGGTTCCTGTGGTTGAAACAGGACTGAGTGTTCACTGTGTGATGTTCTCGTGACTGTGAAAAGTCAACAGGAAACTGCTCCATTCCACCACATTACGTGGATCTTGCACAGGCTGCCTGAGGGTGGCTGTTCACCCAGGAATGCTCTCTCTTAGCCTGGCTGTTGTTGCTTCTGTCAAAGCTGAGCATTCAGCACAAACCCACTCTCAATCCCCCCAACCCCCACAATCAGCTTTGACATGCACGACTGCCTGGCTCAGCTACAGTAGGATTGATTCCTGCCCAGGTACTGAATTAATAAACAGGGTTTGGAAGTTGGCTGTTTGCAGCTTTTCAGCTTTATTACCAAAGTTCTATATTCTGCTGCCAAATCTGCTTCTGATAGAAAGATCTAGACCCCATAACGCTGTGCAAAAAAGCATTTCCTTTCATAACAAGTCACCCAGTAAAAATGCTGTCTTCAGATTTCCTTGTCAAAACTTTCCACTGTTTTGAACTTCTCTACCAGATTTTCTCTGATAGAATTATGTAATTCTTTGTAGGATTTTTTTAAGTCTCTACCAACCTGTCCTGAACTTTTAAACATTCACTAGCTGGACCCTAGAAGCCTGTATCCTATTTATTTTTTTTTCATTTATGGGTTGTGAGCACTGCTGATAGGATCGGCTACTTAGTTTCAAGTCAGGATGGTGAGTAACTGTGGTGGGCAACTTGTCTGTGGTGATGGTCCCATGTGTCTGCTGTCCTTGTTCTTCTAGATGGTTCCGGTCATGCTTTTGGAAGTGCACGGTGAGGGGGGGCTTGGTTCTACATGCGTTGGTGGTGGAGGGAGTGGATGTGGTACCAATCAAGCAGGCTGCTTTGTCCTTGATGGTGTCAAGCTTCGTAGAATCCCTACAGTTGGCCCAACAAGTCCACACCGACCCTCAGAGCATCCCACCCAGACCCATCCCCCTTTAACCCCTCCTAATCTAGGCATCCCTTGAACACTATGGGCAATTTAGCACAGCCAGTCCACCTAACCTGCACATCTTTGGACTGTGGGAGGAAACCGGAGCACCCGGAGGAAACCCACGCAGACACGGAGAATGTGCAAACTGCACACAGACAGTCGCCCAAGGGTGGAATCGAACCCAGGTCCCTGGCGCTGTGAGGCAGCAGTGCTAACCACTGAGCCACCGTGCTGCTCGTGCACATCGTGCACCCAATCAGGCAAGTGAGGAGTATTCCGTCCCACTCCTGACTTGTGCCTTGTAGATGGTGGATAGCTTTGAGAGTCAGGAATCATAGACTTCCTACAGTGCGGAAGTTGCCATTTGGCCCATTGAATCTGCGCTGATCCTCTGAAGAACATCCCACCCAGACCTAGCCCCCAACCCTCTCCTGGTAACCAGCTATTTACCATGGCTAATCCACCTATCCTGCACAGGGATGTTACTGCAAGATTCTCCGCTTCTATCTTGTTCTGTACTAACTGTAATTATACGTATAGTCCAGTTTAGACTTTGGTCAATGGTCATCATTGTCGGCAATCGCTCATCAACGAGTATGATTATCCACCTAGAATTCCTTCATATTGGTCATGGGATCCATGGGTCCTAGTGTGGCTGATGATCTAATTGTAGAGCTGCAACTCCAACCACACATTTGGCAGGTGTTTCCAGGAGATGGAATTAGTCCTTGGCCTTGAGATCATCAGCATTTCTTTCTCCGGTTCCTTTTCTGTGCTCCCTCTTGCTGCCGGGTATTCTCAAAGAATTGTGTCCCATCGTACAGGAGTTTCTTCCAAGTCAGTTTCTTCTGAACGGGGGTCTACCATGTGTTGATGTCTGTGTTGCATTTGTTTGAGGGAAACCTTTGGGGTGTCTTTGAAACACTTCCTTTGCCTTCCTCTTGTTCAAGTGCTTTCCTTGAGCTGGGCAAGAATGATTTGCTTTGGCAGTCGGAAAACAGGAATCCTAAGCATGTGGCGTGTCCTGTGGAGTTGGTTTTGAATGATCCTGGCCTCAATGCTGGTGCATTTGGCTGCTTCAGGGACGCTGATGTTAAGATACCTGTCTTCACAGCTGATGCAGAGAACCCATCTCGAACAGTGTTGAGGTGGCGCTTACATGTAGTACAGGTTTCAGAGCTATATAGAAGAGATGGATGGATGGATAGCTACCTTACACACAGGATCTTGGTATCAGCACCGATGTCACAGTCAATGAAGACACTCATCCTTAGGTGTTTGAAGGTGCCGCCCTCAGACTGGATGCAATGTTGAATCTCCACATCAATGTTAGCCTTAGATGAGACGTCAGCAATGACCCCCAGGATGTTGATGGTGATGAATTCCGTGATAGTGATGCCAGTGTTGCCAAAGGCGATGATTAGATTTTCTGAATATTGTCCAGATCTTGTTGCATTTGGACATTGACTGCTTCAGTATCTGAGGGGTTGCAAATGGTGCTGAACACTGTGCAATCATCAGCAAACAACCCACTTGTGACCTTATGATGGAGAGAAGGTCATTGATGAAGCAGCTGAAGATGGTTGGGCCTAGGGCACTATCCTGAGGAACTCCTGCAGAGATGTCCTGGAGCTGGGATGACTGACCTCCAACAACCACGACCATCTTCCTATGTGCATGGGATGAAGGCATCACTGGCTGATGTGGAAGCATTTATTGCTCATCCAGAGGGCAGCTAAGAGTCAACCACATTGCTGTGGGTCTGGAGTCACATGTGAATCATATGGTATTTTTCCCGACAATCGACAATGGATTCATGGTTGTCATTAGACTCTTAATTCCAGATTTTAATGAATTCAAGTTCTGTAATCTGGCGTGGTGGGATTTGAACCCAGATCCCCAGAACATTACCTGGGTCTCCGGATTAACAGTCCAGTGATAATACCGCTAGGCCATCGCCTCCTCGTTTGTCCAGTAAATGTATGTAAGTTATCAGTATTGCTTTAACACCAGGAGACACATAGATACGTGTTCCAAAAGCAAATCCTTCTGAAATAGTAACAACACTTCCCAAAAATAAAATTGTCTGTCCAATTAACTATTCAATTCCAGTCTGTCAGTGGAAACCAGTACTGGAAACAAGATAGGTCTGTCATTGTGTAACACTGGGGTACAGTACTAGTGGGGACAGGTCTGTCACTGTGTAACACGGAAATGTGCAGCTTGAGCAATGGTTCCAGCTGGTCTTTCCAGTCATGTGTATTTCTGACTATGACTTTAAGTCTTTGAATTACTTTTCAGGTTTCCATGAGATCTCTGAAAACCGTGTGGCTGTTCTTCTGTTGGCTGGAGGACAGGGCACACGTCTGGGTGTGCCGTACCCAAAGGGAATGTATGATGTTGGGCTGCCAAGTGGCAAAACCCTTTACCAAATCCAAGCAGAGCGGATTCGCAAAGTACAGCAGCTCGCTGAGGAAAGGCTAGGCAAGAAATGTGTTGTCCCT